AAAAAAAAAAAAAAAAAAAAAAAAGCTAGTCCTTTATAAAGATCAAGAAAATTGACAAATTTAGCTAGATTGACCAAAAGAGAGAGAGAGAGAGCGAGAGAGACTGAGAGAGCACGCACAACTGAGCACAAGAGAGAGAACTCTCAAATTATTAAAATCAGGATCAAAGAGGGGTCATTACTAAAAAGCTTGCAGGAATAAAAACAATTGTAAGTGGACAGTATGGACGACTGTACACTAACAGATTAACGTCGACGAAACAGACAAATTTCTAGAAACATAAACTATCAAAACTGACTCCAGAAGAAAGAGAAAATCTGAATAAAGCCATAACAAGAGACTGAGTTAGTAATCAAAAAACTTTAGAATCTCTCTGAGACTACTCTGGCCTGAGAGGCTGCTCGATACAAAAACCAAAAGCAAACTTCCCACAAAGAAAAGCTTCACTGATAAATTCAACCAAATGCTTACAGAAGAACTAAGACCAATCTTCTGTAAACTCTTCCAAAAAAAAAAGAGGGGGAACACTTCCTAACACATTCAATATGATCAGTATTGCCCTGATACCAAAACCAGACAAAGAGATCACAAGAAAGTAAGCCTACAGACCAATGTCCCTCACAAACATGGATGTAAAAGTCTTCAACAAACCACCAACAAAGTGAATACATATGGCGGCATATTAAAAGGATTATATACCAAGACCAAGGAGGATCCATTCCAGGAGTACACACTTGGTTTAACATATGAAAAGTAATCAGTGTAATGCACCATATTAATACAATGAAGAAAAAACATGATAATCTCAACAGACACAGAAAAGCCATATAAAACCCAGCACTCTTTCATGATAAAAACATCTAAATTATAAATAGAGAGGAAATTTCTCAATCTAATAGGGCATCTAAAATATTTATCAGTTCTTTTCTGCGAACAACTACTCGAAAAAATATGAGAACTACATAAGTACAAAGTTTATGAAAGGGAAATGCAGTTAAACAGGGAGAAGGTAGTTAAAAAATTGAATTTTAATATATCTTAGTTTCAGATATCAAGAATTAAATGGAATTTAAGTGTCACACATGCAAACACATAGAAATGTTTTAATTTTTAATTTACATCCCCTTCAAATGTAAAATCCCAACCTCTAAATAATGCAGTATCTGAATACATACACCAAATCACAAGAATAACAACATTTAATCCTACCTGAAAAAGATCCAAAAGAGGCTTCCAAGAGAGCATTAAGACTGCTGCTCTACTGATAGTTTTGGGAATTTCAGAATAAAACAGTGTATTTTCTCTGTTCTCACCAGACATGGCTATAAGAGAAAACAATCACATATTATTATTTTTTCAAATAGCATTCTTATAATAGTCACAGTTGCAAGTACATAATGCCTTCTATACGTTGGAATATTCTGCACTCTACGGGATTTATAATGAATGTCAATAAGTACGCTGTGCCCATGCCATATGCCATAAAAACTTTCCATAAAACTTTCCAAAAAATATTAGCCTGGCACAATACACATGCCTATAATCCCAGCTACTTGGGAGGCTAAGGCAGGAGGATCACTTGAACCCAGGAATTCACCACCAGCCTAGGCAACATAATAAAATCCTATCCTAAAAAAAAAAAAAAAGCCCAAAAAATCAACAAAAAGAAATCCAAGGCTTTAAAGAAAATTGCTCAAGTTTCATTTTAGACCTTAGTACCCCTCAAAATAAATATAAAAGTATGTAAGTTGCTGTGTAAAGTTAAGACAAGTACCATTTTTAGAATTTTTTGAGAATTGTGAGTCCTTTACAAGTTGGCAACAGACTCATGAGATTCCAATGTAACAACTTCAGATTACTGTTTATTCTGTTTCTGAAACATTTAAAGTGCTTACTGGGAAACACACAGATCTAACCGAATTCTAGTTTTTATTCATTATAAAAGTCCTGCAGGCCAGGCTTGGTGGCACATGCCTGTAATCCCAGTACTTTGGGAGGCCGAGGCAGGCAGGTAATTTGAGGTCAGGAGTTCAAGACCAGCTAGGCCAAAATGGTGAAACCCTGTCTCTACTAAAAATACAAAAAAATTAGCTGGGCATAGTGGGAGGTGCCTATAATCCCAGCTACCTGGGAAGCTGAGGCAGGAGAACTGCTTCAACCCAGGAGGAGGAGGTTGCAGTGAGCCAAGACCACACCACTGCCCAGCCTGGGCAACAGAGCAAGACTCCATCTCAAAAAAAAAAAAAAAAAAAAAAAAAGTTCTGTAACTGTAATCACTAAAAAGGCTTTTAGGGTTTCCAATAAAAGTATACCTATATTAAAACAACACAGAATCTGGTATCTGATCTGCTGAAAATCTCTTTGTCCTTTATTGGGAAAGGGAACGAGAAAAAGGTCTAAGTTAAGTAGAAGCCAAATCTCTTCTGTGAAATCATGTGTTAACTGTTTGGGAAGGTCACAGCAGTGTAAAATGAGTTACATATAAGAGTGACAGAAACACACTATGGTTATGAAGATGTGAAACAAAGAAAATGTGAACAGGGTAAAACAAAGTCCCTCTACTCTAAAAAGTTACTGGTGGCCAGACGCAGTGGCTCACACCTCAAATACCGGGACTCTGGGGGGCCAAGGCAGGCGAATCACCTGAGATCGGGAGTTTGAGACCAGCCTGACCAATATGGAGAAACCTCACCTCTACTAAAAATACAAAAATATCGGAGTGTAATTTTGTATTTTTAGTAGATACATGGTGGCACATGCCTGTAATCCTAGCTACTCAGGAGGCTGAGACAGGAGAATCGCTTGAACCTGGGAGCTGGAGGTTGCAGTGAGCTGGGATCACGCCATTGCACTCCAGCCTGGGCAACAAGAGCGAAACTCCGTCTTAAAAAAAAAGACAAAAACAAAGGTATTGCTTCCAAAAAGCTGGAGGAGTGAAGGAAGGAAAAAATAAATCACACAGAAATAACAAGAAATCTCCTGGGTGAAAGAGACGCTCAACCTGTATTTCTGAATTATTAATGCCAGCAAAAGGCAGTCGTGGGAAGGGTATGCTACTCCCATGCTTACCCTTGCAAAGGTTGAGGATAAGCCCCCAAATAACCACAACTCCTTCTATCCTTATTTTTCCAAACCTTGGTTTATGTTGCCTTGGAGTAAAAAGTTAAGATAGTGGTTGACATTTATTTCAGCACTCAATTTAGTCTAAAATCTACTTCGTAGATTCTAGTTGCTTTGTTACAGAATTCTCACGATTGTCGTCACCCATTTATAACGTTCACAATTTTATAAAATGTGATCATATCCTCCTTAACCATTCTCTAAGAGCCCTCAGTCTTCAAATATTAAAAGAAAAACACAGCCGGGTGAGGTGGCTCACGCCTGTAATCCCAGCACTTTGGGAGGTTGAGGCAGGTAGATCATGAGGTCAAGAGATCGAGACCAGCCTGGCCGACACGGTGAAAACCTGTCTCTATTAAAAATACAAAAATTAGCTAGACACGGTGGTGCCTGACTGCAGTCCCAGCTACTTGGGAGGCTGAGGCAGGAGAATCGCTTGAATCCAGGAGGCGGAAGTTACAGTGAGCCAGATCGCGTCACTGCACTCCAGTCTAGCAACAGGGAAAGACTGCCTCAAAAAAAAAAAAAGAAAAACACAAAACTGGTTTTCTTCTCTCCTCAGTAACAGCCATTCCCCACAATTATTTCAGTTGCCCCTCCCTATATGCTCCTAGTTCCATAATGTCTTCCTTGGTTTATCCATGACAAGTAAAAATTTCCCTAATACCATCTATATCCTGACCTAAACACAAAAATGGGCTTTTCTCATCCTCTCCTAATGGTATTTATTAGGAAAGAATGAGAAAAGCCCATTTAGAGTCTTTAGAGCTACAGCTGCCCATGTCTTCAGGCAATGCTGTCAATGAGTCCTGTTTCTCTTTAGGATAACATGACAAAGAACAAGAGGCAAAATTAAGCATGCAAAAAAGTAAAATGCTAATGTAACAAAATGCTTATAACTAAATAATAGGGCTTCTTCTAAGTACCCCACATTTGGAATAAGGGCTCTCCAAAATGTGTAATTTCCTATAAAAGAAAACATTTCTGGCCAGGTATAGTGGCCCACACCTGTAATCCCAGCACTCTGGGAGACTGAGGCGGGTAGACTCTGGAGTTTGGGACCAGCTGAGCAACATGGTGAAACACCATCTGTATCAAAAATGTAAAAATTAGCTGAGCATAGTGGCATGTGCCTTTAGTCCCAGCTACTCAGGAGACTGAGATGGGAGGATGGCTTGACACTGGGAGGTGGGGGTTGCAGTGAGCCAGGATCACACCACTGCACTCCAGCCTGGCCAACAAAGTGAGACCCCATCTCAAAAAAAATAAAAATAAATAAATAAATAAATAAATAAGGCTGGGTGCAGTGGCTCACGCTTGTAATCCTGGCTAAGGCAGGAGGATTACTTGAGCTCAGGAGTTCCAGATCAGCCTGGGCAACATGGTGAAACCTGTCTCTACAAAAAAAAAATACACAAATTTGCTGGGCATGGTGGCATGCACCTGTAGTCCCAGCTACTTGGGGGACCAAGATGGGAGGATCACATCAGCCTGGGAGGTCAACGATGCAATGAGCCAAGATCAGGCCACTGCACTCCAGCCTAGATGACAGAGCGAGACCCTGGCTCAAAACATAATTAGTTAATTAAAAAATACACAAATTTGGGACAATCCCACAAGGGATTAATTCACTTACAGTAATATATAAAATGGTTCAAATCATTAAGAAAAAGAAACCCTCTTCAGAGGTTAGGTGGAAAAAGAAAAGAACTTTAAAAAAATTAAAAAGTAACCCAACCAAATCTAAAAAAGCCAGTATTATAAACTGCGACTGCATAGAAAAAAAAATACAAATGGCTTTTTCTCCCCCTTGAGACAAAGTCTCACTCTGTCATCTATGGTGGAGTGCAGTGGTGCCATCTCGGCTCACTGCAACCTCTGCCTCCCAGGTTCAAGCAATACTCCTGCCTCAGCCTCCCAAGTGGCTGGGATTACAAGTGTGTGCCACCATGCCTGGCTAATTTTTATATTTTTAGTAAGAGATGTGATTTCACCATGTTGGCAAGGCTGGTCTTGATCTCCTGTCCTCAAGTGATCCACCAGCCTCAGCCTCCCAAAGTGATGGGAATACAAGCGTGAGCCACCGCACCCAGTCATAAGTGGCTTTTTAAGCATGGGAAATGATGCTAAACCTCACTCTTAAGAGAAATAAAATAAAAACTACGTGAGAAACTGCTGTTCACTAGAAAAGATCAAAAACTTTAATTACTCACTATTGGTGTATGCATTGAGAAATAGACAATCTGAGATAATGTTGATGGTAGTATAAACTCTGCAATGTCTTTGAAAGGGGAGTTTAGCAATATCAACCAAAATTCATAATACAAATACCCTTTGTCCCCACAATTCCACTCTTAGGAATTAGTTCTACAGGTATATTTACATATGTGAAAAATGATCTAATACAGTGATAGTCACCTCCTCCTCTTTTGTAACAGCAGATTAGAAAAACCTAAATGCAGCCAGGCACAGTGGCTCACACCTGTAATCCCCGCACTTTGGGAGGCCAAGGAGGGGGGAATCACTTGATGTCAGTAGTTCAAAACCAGCCTGGCCAACATGGTGAAACCCCGTCTCTACCAAAAATACAAAAAAAATTAGCCAGGTGTGGTGGCAGGTGCCTGTAATCACAGCTACTCGGGTGGCTGAGGCAGGAGAATTGCTTGAACCTGAGAGGCAAAGGTTGCAGTAAGCCAAGATCACGGCACTGCACCCCAGCCTGGGTGACAGAGAGATACTCTGTCTCAAAAAAAAAAAAAAAAAAAAAAAAAGAAAAAGAAAAACCTAAACATCATTACTAGAGGTCTGGCACAATTGGCTGGGACAGTGGCTCACACCTGTAATCCCAACCCTTTGGGAGGCCAAGGCAGGCAGATCACAAGGTCAGGAGATTGAGACCATCCTGGCTAACACAGTGAAACCCCATCTCTACAAAAAAAAAAATTAGCCAGGCGTGGTGGCACGCGCCTATAGTCCCAGCTACTCGGGAGGCTGAAGCAGGAGAATCGCTTGAACCCAGGAAGCGGAGGTTGTAGTGAGCTGAGATTGCACTACTGCACTCCGGCCTCGGCGACAGGGCAAGACTCCGTCTTAAAAAAAAAAAAAAAGGCACAATTATATAATGGAATATCCTCAGTTGTTAAAAAAGAATGAATCCCAGGCTGAGCAACATGGCAAAACTCTGTCTCTACAAAAAAAAACTGAAAAAATTAGCTGGTTGTGGTAGCCTTTGACCATTATCAGACATCTGGTTAAGTAAAATCTGGCACAATTAATCCCATAGTGGAATATTCTGAAGTTATTAAAAAAAATGAATCCCAGCCTGAGCAACATGGCAAAACTCCATCTCCACAAAAAAATAACAAAAAATTAGCTGGCAGTGGTGGCATATACATATAGTCCTAGCTATTAGGGAAGCTAGGGTGGGAAAATTGTTTGAGCCTGAGAGGTAAAGGCTGCAGTGAGCCATTAGTGTGCCACTGCACTCCAACCTGGATGACACAGCGAGACTGTCTCAAAAAAAAAAAAAAAAAAAAAAAAAAAATCTGTAATTATGACATGAACTCATGCAGACAGTATCTTTAGTATCTCTATACACATATACACTTACCACATACACAAATAAATAAAAAATATATATATGCACACATTCATATAAACAAATAAAACTTACACTGGAAAAATTTTGGAGGAGGGGAGGGACCCTACCTTTAAAAATTTAATAAACAAAAAGTAAATCAGTAGGTTAATATATTTAATTTAGGCAGACCTTAAATCTGGAGTGAATGGACTCAAGAAGAGAAGACCAAAACCAGCCTTGGATTTAAAAAAAAAAAAGCGGCCGGGGCCGGGTGGTTCAAGCCTGTAATCCCAGCATTTGGGAGGCCAAGGCGGGCAGATCACAAGGTCAGGAGTTCGAGACCAGCCTGACCAACATGGTGAAACCCCATCTCTACTGAAAATACAAAAATTAGCTGGTCATGGTAGCAGATGCCTGTAATCTCAGCTACTCAGGAGACTGAGGCAGAAGAATCGTTTGAACCCGGGAGGCAGAGGTTGCAGTGAGCAGAGATCATGCCACTGCACTCCAGCCCGGGCAACAGAGCAAGACTCTGTCTCAAAAAAAAAAAAAAAAAAAAAAGCGGGGGCGATGCATTTCAAGCTAGCTTTAGGAAGAAGCAATTTCTGTAATCTTTGACTCTGAAAAATGATCATGGTCAATTCATTATTTGTTACCCAATAAAGTTAATGGCATAAAACAAAACCAAATTCTTCAAATTAAGTTTTAAGTATTTTTTTTTTCTTTAATGGAACCAAAAGTCACTAATCATTTACTTATTCATCAAAATTTGAGTGCCAATTGTATCTAGACTTTTAAGTTTGACTCAAAAGAGCATTTTCTCTCAGAAACTATCACTTTGTACTCACCAAGGTAATAGATTCTGTCTGAATGAGGCCCGTCTGGATCATTCCTCTTCACAAACATGAAATCATGTGGTGCCTTAGCCATCATGTAGCCATGATATTTTCTGGTATCAGCAAGCAGCTTTTTAAGCTGACTCCAGGAATACCGCTCAACATAAAACGGCTCCAATTTAGGCCGATCCTGTGATTCAACATTCTCCTCACAGTCTGCAGTTTCAAATATCTCAACACCCAGCTGTTCTGTTTCCATTGCTGCTGCCATGTTGCATTTTCCTAGAAAAACAAGGCACACGAAGCTGTTCATAGGTCTGTCTTTTATTATCAGAATGATTCTCTGATAGGGTCAAAGAACGAGGAGGGGTGGGGAGGGCAAGAAAAAAATCCTTTTTAGCACAGCTGCAATGAAACCCAGTAAGAAAAGCAATAGCTCTCCCTTCTGTGTTGTTTAAAAATGAAATTTAAAAAAAAAAATTTGAGATCATGTTACTTCACAGTGCCTATAAATCCCTGTGGTAACTTTTATAAAAGGCTCTCCTTAGGCATCTCTTGCCAAAACTCCCTTTTCTTTCCCACACTGGAAGGAAACAGGCCACTTGCCAGTTGGCTGCTACGCTCCACCCCAAGAGCATGTCAACAGTGAAGGTAACTGTGCCAAGGAAACTAAGTGTTTTGCATTTTAAAAAGTAACACATTTGGTAAGTGTAGATTTTTTTCGGATAACAGGCAACCACAGCAAATGAGAACAGCAATAAAACTGTCAAAAACAGTGTGCATGTAATCACCTTCCTACTTCCCAAGGTAATGTATCGTTTCCTTTTAGGCAGAATGCCAAACTAAACACTTAACTGGCTGGTAGATTTTTGAGTCTTCTGCTTTTGCCTAGACATCACTATCATGATCACTTGTAGTGACTTTATTATTTTAAGGAAACTTATGTCACTATTCTTACCAATCATACAACATAAACTGATTAAATGACAAAAAAATATACTATCTTAAAGTGGCTTTAATTAGCTGAAGTAGTTGATACAGAAAGCATTTAATATTTGTACCAACAGTATTTTGATAAAAGTATAAACTGACGTCCACTGGTTCAACCCCTAAATAGTGTTTAATATCTCATCTGTTAGTTTATTCTCATTTCACAAATCCAGAAGAAGCTGCATTTCTCCTTTATCTTTTCCAACATTTAACATGAGCAAAGTATCAAATAATAAAAAGTGTTATCGCAAACCGGTGTGAATTCTGACATATATTATTCATGACACTGCCACAAAGGAGGACATAAAAATTCTGGGCAATTTGTTCTTTTTGAACTAAGAAATGTCAAAGACATGTGGACTTGGGAGATAAACTAAATTGCATTTATGTAACAAAATTTAACATAATCATTAACTACTTCTATAATAATAATCAATATATGGGTGTTCATTTAATATATCTTTTTAAAATCCCAAATTTGAAGGTTAACATAACTAAAAGTTATCAGGTATGGATTATGAATTAGTCCATTAAGCACACGTTACTGGCATGCCAAAGAACTGAATGACCTGTGTGTGCAGCTTTTGCGTTTTTTCATGCTAAAGTTACCTATGTTACCATTTTCAACTTAACAGTACCAAAGAGGCCAGAAAGCCTATTAGAAAGTTAAATCAGGTATACTTTTAACATTATGACAAGTGAGCATTCACTTTGAATGACTAAAACCAAAACAGCTTGGCAGAGAAAATAAAGTCATTTGGCTCAACGAGTATTCAGCATACTGATATTTACTGACAGTATATGACTCTGGGGTTATATACTGTAATATGTTTATCTGCCCAACTAAAACCTAGTGGAGGTCTACTTCCTACCAAATGTCAACAGACCCAGTTTTATAGATAATAGACTGAGGGACAAATGTGAGAAGAACCTATACAAATTAGGCTTATTTTCCTTAACTACTTTAGTGTTGTGTTTGGAAGTTCACCTCCAAACTATGCTTGAAAGATTACGGCTAAGGAACAGAACAGGGAAGCACTACAGAAAGACCTCCTCCCAAGCCTGAGTGTCCAGTTTATTTACTGTTTTTAGTCAAGTCTCACTGCTGCCCAAGTTGCGGTGTAGTGGCACAGCCTTGAACTCCTGGAGTCAGGGGATCCTCAGGCCTCAGCCTTCCGAGCAGCTAGGACCACAGGAATGCATCACCATACCCAGCTACTTTTTAAAAACTTTAGACAGGGTGGGGGGGTGTCTCACTATGTTGCCCAGGCTGGTCTTGAACTCCTGGGCTCAAGCAATCTTCCTGCCCCAACCATAAAGTGCTGGGATCATAGGCACGTGTCACCTTGCCTGGCCATGCCCAGCTTCTTCAGTTACACAATCACTTCGTATCTTTTCCTATGTAAAAGGTACATTAGCTTACATTTAAATTGCCTGGTAGTCCTGAATCGTACTAATCCCTGGACACTCTCTCTATGCACATGCACACATGTGTACACGTACAAACACAGTACAGTTCAAATGATACTCTGCTATTCCGTATGTTCGCAGCAAATGTACATCCTGCATTTTCTAGGGTAGACCTGATTATTATATTAGTAATTTGTGCAGATGTTTGGTAAGTGACTTAATTTCTTATTATATACAAATACATTCTCAAAATAGGTGACCTGAATTTTGTCAAAGAGAGGAAAACAGGGTCAGTGTACCTTCTCAGCACAATGCATGCATTTCCCTGCCCCACCTACCTCGTCACTTAAGTAGCTTCCCTGGTGCCTACCTGATTTTATTTTCATCTGCTCAGATCTCTTCCACATTCAAAGAGATCTTTTTCAAGTGACTCAACTTCAAGCATAGAATCCCTCTGCTCATCCTGCTCTTCTCATAGGAATCTTTCCTTTTCTCACCATCCAATCCTGCTCACCACGATAATGAAATAAGATTTTGATCATTAAGATGGACCATATGTGGCCAAAACCAGAAGCCCCAAAACAGTAAAAACTGACACCGAAATACCACTTTTTGGGACAACATATGACGCCTAAATTATTTTGTATCTGCATTTTATGTTATCAAAATTTAATAATTATATTATTTCAGCGATGTGTAGCCCAATATAGTCAAAAGAATATCCTCAGATGGTAAATCTTGGTGTCTAGACATACATTAAAAGAAAAATCATGGAAAAGGTTTTAAAAAGTTATAAAAGGCATACAGATGTGAAGTTGCTGAGTGACTATTGCAAATCATCAAAAATGGCAGATAATTTGTTTTTATGTGCCTATTCCTGTTCCTTTTATGCAATAATGTCATATCAAGCTGGTTGGAGACAGAATCAACTCAGTAGGATAGCCAATAAGAATTACAGGCCATTTTTGCAGAAAGGGAAATTAACTCGAATTTAATAATTTAAGATTTTTCGCGAGATAAAGAATTTTCTATTCATCTTAAGTGCATTCCGTTTTTGCCTTTTTCCTTGATGCATTACTCCGAGAATAACTGAAACAGGTAACTTTTCTGGAAAAAGCTGCATTAAACTTGTTGAAGTTCTGGCTTAGATTAAAAAAAGAAGGAAGGTCTGCTATTACATGTTATTTTACCAGTTTTAATTTTGGGCCCCCCACTTTGGGAGGCCGAGGCGGGTGGATCACGAGGTCAAGAGATCGAGACCATCCTGGTCAACACGGTGAAACCCCGTCTCTACTAAAACTACAAAAAATGAGCTGGGCATGGTGGTGCGTGCCTGTAATCCCAGCTACTCAGGAGGCTGAGGCAGGAGAATTGCCTGAACCCAGGAGGCGGAGGTTGCGGTGAGCCGAGATCGCGCCATTGCACTCCAGCCTGGGTAACAAGAGCGAAACTCTGTTTTCTCAAAAAAAAAAAAAAAAAAAAAAAAAAGATTTTGGGCCCCCATAACCCAAGTAGGTGATGGAGGGATGGGATGGGAAAAGCTAAGTGACAAGTGTAGGAAAAACAGCGAGGTTATGGAAGCACAGCAACAATAGAACTAAGATGTCAAGACACCTTCTCATATCACTAAGCCCCGTACTCAGAAATAGAGCACGTTGACTCGGAAAATAGCTTTAGATCTCTTGGGTTTGACCCCATTCAAGTGAAATTTCTTAATTTTTAACTCGAGGGCCAAACAGTCGTCCACTTAAACACCTGAAGCTACCTGACTCTTTATGGTTCGCACCCAGTTGAGAGGTTTGCTAGCACAGAGGGGCCCAGGTCTTCAAAAGCCATGAACGAGGCAGAGGAGAGGCACAGCAGAGGATGTCGAGGGGGAGATGCCGATCTCACAAGCACGTGAGACGAGGTGTGGCAGGAAAGGAAGGTGTCGTCCTGCGAGCGGGTGGAACGGAACGGGAGCGGGCGGTGAGCAGGGAGGGAATCAACCCAGCAAGAGAGGGGAGGGAAGAAAGACCGCCAGCTGGGAAACCAGGCGATCTGAGCGCGAACCCCATCGGCCCAGTCGGACTCGGGCAAATCCCTTCGCCTCCGTGCGCTTCCGCCTCCTCGGCCGAAAGCGCTGACAACACCCGGCCTCCCAGCCCCAGCGGGGCTCGATTCAGGCAACGGACGTGGACGGCCCGAGGCCGGCGCCCGGGGCTCGGGGGGCGCCCCGCGAACGGTGGCTGACTCGGGATCTCAGAGCTTCAGCTTCCCCTTCCGGCCAGCGGGGCCCCGCCACCGGCTCTGCCCGCGCAGGGCGGCCCCGCGCAGGGCGGCGCCACGGGCCAACCGCCCAGCGGGCAGTCCCTCGGAGGCGGAGAAGGCCCGGGGAGCGGCGGCCCCGGCCTCGCCGGCGCAGGGGGAGGAGAGTGGGGCGGATACTGCACCTTCCCCCCCGGCCCCGCCCGGACCGTCCTGACGCGCGCTACGGGGCGGGCCTGCGCCGCCTCATGCTGCGCGGCTTCCACTCCGGTGCGGGCTGCAGCGGCTTCCTCGGCGGCACGGCCGGGGGCAACCCGGGCGGCGAACGCGGCACCCAGGGACGGCCGCGGCTGCAGCGGCGGCGGCCTCGGCCTCCGAGGTGTTAGCACTTCCGGTTCCTGGCGCTCGGCCTGGCGAAGGCGCGGCCGGGCCAAGAAGGGCACCGCTGTCCGCTTGGCGGGGTGCAGCGCCACAGCGCCGCCTCTCGGCCGGAGGAGCGAAGGAGGTGCGGGGTAGAGACGGCCGAGCAGAGCATAGACATGAAATCCACAAGGAACAGCGCCTTACTCAAAGTCACAGGGCAAATTGTGGCGCCTCTGTACTCAATAAATATATATCGAGTGCCTGCTCAAAACAGACAAAATTCCTGTCCGTGTGCCAGGCAGAGAGAGCGTTAGACGCTGGGAGCAAACCAGAGTAAATCCCTGCCCTCTCAATGAGACGACATTGAGAGGAAAGGGACTGGGGACTCGGGAGATCTGAGCGTCTCATGGTTGCGGTGGAAATAAATCCGAACCTGGAGTCCCAAACTTGGCTCTAATATTAACTGGTGATCTTCCAGCAGATCACTCAATCTATCTGAGCCATAACTTCTTTACCTCTAAAAGGGATATAATACATTTCACTTAATTGCAATTAAAGAAAACCGGCTGGGTGTGGATGGAGGCTCACGCCTGTAATCTCAGCACTTTGGGAGGCCAAGGCAGGTGGATCACTTGGGGTCAGGAGTTCGAGAGCAGCCTGGCCAACATGGCAAAACCCCATCTCTATCAAAAATACAAAATTTAGCCTGTTATGGTGACGGGCACCTGCAATCCCAGCTACTACTCGGGAGGCTGAGGCAGGAGAATCCCTTGAACTCGGGAGGCGGAAGTGGCAGTGAGCCAAGATCACCCCGCTGCCCCACTGCACCCCAACCTGGGTGACAGAGTGAGACTCTGTCTCAAACACAAAACAAATGCACTCTAATACATAAAATGAAGAAATTGAGGCCTAGGGGAAAGAAGTGAATGACGTATCATAATCAGAGCCAGAGGCACGACCCCTGACCTGCAGTTTCTTTCCTGATCTACACTGTATATTGGCTGAGAAACAAGGAACCCAGGAAGATGTCTGGGAGAGTAGCAGGTATACACAAAAACAGTGCAAAAGCTGGGCCTCCCCTATTTTCCATTATTAAAAAGAACCATGTGTCAGAGTTGTGTGGCATTAGGATTTATTATAATAGCATTAATAAAAAATCCATTTGGGTACTATGCTCCACTCCGCAGTATATAATTATTCGCTTTGAGATTAAATGAGCCTTCCCTCATGCTTTTTAAAGTTGAGCTCTCTTTAAAAAAAAAAGGCAAAGCCATTTGCCTTGAGTCTCTTCTATTAATTTTCTCCAAATGACCTGAGAGCAGATTTTAAAGGCTTTAAATGCACACGAACACACACAAACAAACAAAATATGGAGAAATATATCTTGCACTTCATTTCATTAACCCAACAATTGTTTGCTGAATCTCTGCCTTATACCTGTCACTGTTCTAAGCAGTGGGGCCACAGTAGTGAACAAAGTAGATAAAGCCCTGTTTTGATGCAGTTTGTAGCCTAAGAAGAAGAGATACAGCCCCCTCCCCCCAAAAGTAAACAATTAAAATATATAATTTCATCCATGTTAAAAAAGAGCCATGGAGAGATAAAATACTTAAATGCTTGTTTATATCAGATGACTTATTATAGATTTGACTAGATTGGAATTCAGGTTTCTTGATTTTCATTCTTATTTTCTTCTTCCTGGAATGCAGTGGCGCAATCTCAGCTCACTGCAACCTCTGCCTGCCACGTTCAAGCGATTCTCCTGCCTCAGCCTCCAGAGTAGCTGGAACTATAGGCCCGTACTGCTACACCCAGCTAATTTTTTTTTTTTTTTTTTTTTGAGACAAAGTCTCACTCTGTCACCACGCTGGAGTGCAGTGGTGTGATCTCAGCTTACTGCAACCTCTGCCTCCTGGATTCAAGTGATTCTTGTGCTTCAGCCTCAAGAGCAGCTGGGATTACAGGCACGCACCACCATACCCAGCTAATTTTTGTATTTTTAGTAGAGACGACGTTTCACTATGTTGACCAGGATGGTCTTGATCTCCTGACCTAGTGATCCACCCGCCTCGGCCTCCCAAAGTGCTGGGATTGTATTGTGAGCCACCGCGCCCGGCCGATTTTCATTCTTATTTTCAAATCCTGAGAAAGTTGTAGAACAGCTCCACCATGAAACACCGGCAACCTTGCATGTATCCACGTAAGCTACATAGGCACAGACTTGAATCGAAGCGTCTCTGGGTCTCAGCAGAATGCTGTGTGAGGCTCCTAGAAAAGGAGAGAATAGGAGGCTGATAGGGACCTGGAGGCAGCCTCCCCTAGGAGGCAGTCAGGAGACAGCTCGACAGCTTCTCCTCTCCTCTGGTTTCTGATGAGGTGTGAGGCTTTCTCCCCACCCCCTCAGAATAGCACTGCTGAATACAAAAGTCATTTGGCCTCAGCCTCGAATTGGCTCCTGTTCAATGGGGTATCTCACGGCTCACGTTGCAGTCATCTGGGCCCTTTTGTTTCAGGTCAGTTTTCCCTTGGTATCTGCAGGGGATTGGTTCCAGGACTCCTGGCAGATATTAAAATCAGCGCTACTCAAGTCCCTGATATTAAATGGCATAGTATTTGCATGTAACCTATGCACATCCTACTCTCAGATACTAATTTTTTGTGTGTGTGACAGTCTCACTCTATCATCCAGGTTCTGGAGTGCAGTGGCAGTATCTCAGCTCACTGCAACCTCTACCTCTCGGGTTGAAGCAATTCTCCCACCTCAGCCTCCCAAGTATCTGGGGTTACAGGAGCCCATCACCACACCCAGCTAATTTTTGTATTGTTAGTAGAGGTGGGGTTTCACCACATTGTCCAGGCCAGTCTCGAACTCCTGACCTCAAGCAGTCTACCTACTCCGCCTCCCAAAGTGCTGGGATTACTTACAGTCGTGAGCCACTGTGCCTGGCTGACTTTTTTTTTTTTTTTTTTTTTTTTTTTTTTTTTGAGATGGAGTTTCGCTCTTGTTACCCAGGCTGGAGTGCAATGGCGCGATCTCGGCTCACCACAACCTCCGTCTCCTGGGTTCAGGCAATTCTCCTGCCTCAGCCTCCTCAGTAGCTGGGATTACAGGCACGCGCCACCATGCCCAGCTAATTTTTTGTATTTTTAGTAGAGACGGGGTTTCACCTTGTTGACCAGGATGGTCTCGATCTCTTGACCTTGTGATCCACCCGCCTCGGCCTCCCAAAGTACTGGGATTACAGGCTTGAGCCACCGCGCCCGGCCTGGCTGACTTTTTAATTTAATTTTATTTTATTTTATTGAGATGAAGTGTCCCTCTGTCGCCCAGACTGGAGTGCAATGGCACAATCTCGGCTCACTACAACCTCCACCTCCTAGGTTCAACTGATTCTCCTGCCTCAGCCTCCTGAGTAGCTGGGATTACAAGCACCCGTACTACACCTGGCTATTTATTTATTTATTTACTTAAATTATTATTTTTTTGAGACAGAGTCTCACCCTGTCTCCCAGGCTGGAGTGCAATGGCACAATCTCTCGGCTCACTGCAACCTCTGCCTCCCAGGTTCAACTGACTCTCCTGCCTCAGCCTCCC